CATTGGTTAGCACATGCACACTTTCAAGATAGAGTGAGTGTTGCTAAGTAACAAACTTTTATGTTGACTTCCATGGCTAAATGAGGAAACATCAGGAAACATTTTTTCCATTCGTCTTGGAAGCATAAAGGCATCTTGGAAGCAAAATTTGTTGCACTCAATGATGTTTTGCATGTGGCTAAACTTGGAAACATTGGAGAAACATGGGCACAGTAAACATGTTCCTGTAAATGTTTCCTTGTTTAGCCAGGACCTTAAGCATGCACCCTTCGAGTATTTTGACAATGTCACATTTTGATGGTTGTCAACCAACATCTTATTATGCTTCTTTGAAAAATTTTATTATTTCATATGATACTATTGAGAAGGATGACTGATAATTTGATAAGCATGTACCTTCACACCAAACTTGCTGAGGTGTCTTGCTGCCGACAATCCAGATGCTCCTGCTCCTATTACTATCACTGATAACTAATGACCATAAAAGAAGTAATATTAYCAAACTGCAGTTAACTTAAGCCAAAGGCTCTTATTACTTTCGTCATTACCTTTACTATTATTTCTTTCTTTACAAAAAAAAAACATGATAAGCACTTATTTATCACCCTTGCTTTGTGAAGGCAGTTATGGTAAATAGCAACTCCTTATCGGATAGACTTCTTTCCGTAGTCATGTATATGTATCCATGTATATGTATCCATGCTTCCCTAATATTACATTTTCTATTCATAATGTAYACAAGTTCACTCTAGACTCTTTGCATGTTGCCATCTACAGTATCCCATGATTGACAACACCAATGATTGACAGTTATTGAATGCTTTTTTATAACGCCCATAATCAATAAGTTAGATGTGACTCACCTTTTGATCAGACAATGATGACTCTATATTGTCAATTATCCCATGATTGACAATGCCCTTGATTGACAGGTATCGCAGGATGTTTTCTGCCTCCTGAATAAGTGGTATTCTTACAAGGCCTCTTGTAATGATGTTATYGGCAACCTTATCCTTGGTCAAGCATTCCTGTAATTAAATAACCAAATTATTATTTTATTATTAGTTTTTTGGATGTCAATACTATTAGCCATTTCGATATTGA